TTCTTTTCCWAGCCAATAATTATCAGATATGCACACATAATCAACACCCTAAAAAGAAATGAAAAAATTACTTAATATTTAAATATTAATTAGAGTGTACATGTATCATATAATAAAATATTGATCCTTAAGTGTGTACTGACATATCCGTTGCTAGGGAAATTCAGTAGTTCTCTAAAATGACAAATAAAAGTAAAATCGCTTTTGTATTGAGTATAAGCCTTCCCAAACAAAAATAACGCATTCTATGACGTCATTGTATGATGTCATCGCGTGACGTCATCAATACAAAAAAATGCTATAATTTCATCAAGCAAAGAATATTAAACGATTTAAAATGGATGAAATTTATCTTTAGATCTAGCTAGCATAGCAACCAGGTCGTCTAGAAACGGATACGTCAGTAACCCTTAATAAGAAATAACAGGCAGAATGCTGCAATACAGTTTGTTTTTAACCATTCCACATTAACACAACATGCCTCCTTACAGCTAGTTTTTGAACTAGAGGGAGAAAACCCAGCATACTTGGAAAAAACCCTTAGACCAAGGAAGAGAACCAACCTTCAAACTAAATTCACAAAATTAAATGATTGTGTACCTGGAATAGACCATTTTTTACATGTAAGGTTTTCCATGCACAAACAATGAAACCTAACTTTACCTTAAAGAAAGTGTCTTTTTTGGACATAATCAAATCATCTAATCCCTCACTGCCAGATTCTTCCATGCCTTCAAAACAAAACTAAAGAAAAAATAATAATTTTAATTACGTTTATTGTAATGTGATCTCAGCCACTTTTAAGAGGCTAAAACAGCGTTTGCTGTGATGACTGATTCATTATAGACATGCACACAATTTATCATCACGGTAAATTAGCCAGTTCCCCGATATTAAGACTTTCAATTAATTCAATAAACTACAGGTATACTGAAAATATTAATAGTGACTGTACGTGATACATGCAATTGGTCGGAGTTAAATAGCAACTAAGTACTATATTATATAATTTTTAATACAATTTGCAACACACAACTGTGTTTACACAAGTTGTAGTTGAATCTAGTTTTATGCTAGGTGACTTTGGTATTACAAAAAAAAAATCCAAAAGAGACTAATTGAATAATTCTCCAAATTAATTCAAAAAATCGAACTGTTAAATGAAAGAAATCTGAACAGGCAGCCTACCCCAAACACCAAACAGTTTATAAGTTTAAACAGTTGTTATGTCAACGTTTAACACGCCATGCTGGCATATTTTCGTGATATACAGATTCATGATAAAAGTGATTTCAGTCTAATGAATATGAACCTTGATATTGATTGGCAACTCATGTCCAGTCTTCTGGTATGCCTCAATCACATGTAACCAACACAACACTG